GTTGCATATGCTGACCCTCTTGCACATTTCAGCAATCAAGACTGTTGCATCTGTGCCGCAACAAAGAGTACACATTGTCGAGAGTCGTTTTCACCACTTGCAAAGCATCCATTGTTCAAACTACCAGCTAATCACTGCAATCAAGATGAGCAATGCGATCCTGGAGTCAACTGTATGACAAGAATTGAATCTCGTTGCATTTTCCCACCTCTAGATCTCGCGCAAGGCACATGCCGCACCCAACGCTGTGAACGCTGTGAGCGCTGTTGGCAATGTCTGGGCTTGTCACAACTCAAGGCGTATTCAGGACAGGTACCAGTTGTCCACTGTGGTTTTGGGGGCAATTTGAAAGAGCCACATGCCTCTCGCAGTACTCTTGGATGCTTTCCATGAGATGATCAAGCATCTGTCCAGGGAGTTGAGAAACCAAGCCCTTAGCTTGTTTGGCCTGCGTATCAGCACCTTGCCCGTTAGCTTGCACCCAACCGCTCCGTGGGCTCTGTGCTGATCAGCAAGCTCGCCTCCACCTTGCTGTCCCTTGAGGTCAGTGGACAAATGCAGTAGGCCGTTGTCTGAGGCTGGTCCAACTTGACGGTGATGACGCATCTCTGCAACACTGTTGCTGCAAGGGCAAAATACGGCCGCGCTATGAAACGCTGCCCATCTGTTTGAACATCCTCTGCCTCAATCCCTACCTTTTCCCAAAAGAAAGCGCCATCCTGTGCAATCTGGTACATGAGCTGCCTTGTAGCTGGCCACTCATATTTGGAACCGCACACCTGCAAGCCAATGGCCTGATAAGCACACTTGCCAGTTCCAATCACGTTTTGCAGCATCTTGTGCAAGCTACATTCCTGTAAAGTAGGCAAGTGCTCTGTGCGTGCCACATCTCTCAACAGCACCTCCTGCAGCTGCTGCTGTCTGAGTGCAAGAGGCCAGAGGTGCAAAATGTCTGCTGGGGCCAACGGTGCCGCCAAAGGCTCATCTCCTATTGTTGCGCCTCCACTCATGTCCCATGTGATGGATACCGCTGCATGATCAGGGCAAACTACAGAGAACTCGCTGCAAGACTGGTCAACGCACACCCACTGCAAGCAAGCCAATGGGTTCGACTAGCATTAGCAACTTTGAGGTGTGACTCTTGTCACTTACATTGTTCACATCAGTGGTGTAAAACCGGTTTTGCGGGAACCAGTGGGTTTCCAAGGCTATCGGTCAACAAACGGTTTGGCAAAGGGTTGGCCAAACCTTATATGACTCATCAACCCCCTGGGTTGAGGCGCACATACTTACCCAGACCATCTGTCTAGATCTCTACACCGTAGTTGGCGGTGCATCTTTAAAATCAGGGTTATCAGGTGTATTTGCAATGAGGTGCTTGGTCAACAAGCGCCTCACAGGGAAGACTACAAAAGAGGTTTGCGGGAGCGCTCACGATGCGCAGCACAAGCTTCTTGTACAAGAGCATCGGCGTGCTCTTGTGTGATAGACTCTTCACGATTCACGTGTGACGGACACGGTTGAGAGCGTTGTCCTAACAAGTGGCCTTTTTGCCCTGGCCCTTGACTTGACTGTTGCTGCGCTTCTTTCCAAAGAAGAGCTTTGTGCCTGGTTTCTTGCAATTTGCAAAGATATGCTTTGCGCTCCTGCCTGCTCTGATCAGGTCAAAATTGCTTGCCAGGGCGCTTGCTGACCTTCCGCGCTGGAGCTCCTCCATTGAAGGGCCACAAGACATAGGAGGTGCAAAGTCCTGTTGTCTAGACAGTCCACCAACAGACAGGCTAAGTCCAAGGGTGGCAGGTGTCTTGTTGTGGGCCACAAATTTGCATGTTTCCAGCCACTCCCTGTCAGACTTCACCCATCTTGCCTGAAAGGGTACATGTGCAGAGTCTGTCAGCAATGTATTTGATGGAGGTCAGCATTGGTTGATTGGACCTCAAAATTGACAGATGTAATTTGGGCCCACAGGTTGAACTGGTCTGTATTGGATGCCCAGTCAGAGGTCTCTGGGATGAAGGGGAAGCCATCCATTGTAGCACATGCCTCTACATCCTCAAGCTGAAGACAGAAGGAGATGGCCAATGAGTTGGACAGTGTGTCATACACATACACAATGCTTACGCACCATTTTCCCAAGCTGCATGCCTTGAAGCATTCTGTAAGTGCAATCTGTCTGAAGACCATTGCGGCAAGAGATCTCTTGCAGTTGCTCTACATCTTAGGGTTAGGGTAGTGTTGCAGGTCCATCAAACTCGCAGCCATTGGGCCCAACTGGTCAATCGCTTGCCCAGCCAAATATTCCGCCTGGTCTCTGGTCAGCGCTCTCCCTCACCTTGGATTCCTGAGCAAGCCGAAACGCGCATTGTTGGGGGGGAGCAGAGGCAACGCCTCCCAGACGACCAATCAGACTGTATGCCATGGGATGGTACAGCCTGTGTCCCACTTGTACAACATCAGCTATGGGAGCTGTGCAAGCACTGCAAGCCCTCCCAGCAGCAATGCTTGGCTTGCTGACCACCTTGGTCAGCTTGGAACCCCAAGCAAGTGAGGTCCTGCCTTGATGCCTTCATTCCCTGTCTCAGCTGTGCACAAAGCACAAGCGTTTGACGTCTTGCAGATCATGAAAAGGACTTGGAAGAATAGGCCCTTTATGTCAATGTAAGTCCCTCAACAAATGGACCAAAGAGTGTTGAGAGTGTCATGAAAGGGCAAGGTACATGCTCCCCCCTCAAGCCACATCCCTCTGCCTTCCCAGGTGACAAGAGTGGGGTTTCTGACAACCAGCATTAAACCACAGTTGAGTCTTGAGCAGTCCTCAAAGTCCTTGCAACAAGCAAGCCTGGAGCGCACACATACTAGTTTGCCACATCAAAGGACACTCAAGTTGAGGCTTCACCACAGCAATACACTCATTGACATGCAGACTGCTTGCTCTGTGACTTCACAAGAACAAGACCGCTCAGGGCAAGCGCACAGAGCGCTGCAACAGTCCTCTGCTGCAAAAGAGGCTCAGCAGAGCAGCATGCTCCTGGCCAAGGACCAGATCATTCAGGTCAAGGACCTGGAAATCAACGCCAAGGATGATGTGATCAAGGCTAAACAGAGTATGATTGACCAGCAAGGGGCGCGCATTGACGAGCTCCAGACCATGCAGAACAGCAACGCTAAAGAGATCCAGCGCTTGAAGGTGAATGGACCACTCTTGCCTAACCTAGCTCACTGCAAGCCTAGCTCACCCTGCCCGCTCTCTCCAGCCCGTGGACAACAAGCTTGCCGCTTTCAAGGCCAAAGGAGTGCAAGCAAAGAAGGAGTTGGACCTGATTTGCCTGATGTGGAAGAACAGTGCAGCCTACAGGAGCCTGCTGGGTGAGGACAAAGAGGTGCGTGCAAACTTTGAGCGCAAGCAGCGCAAAGGCGCGCCCTTCTCCACCTGTTGCTCCACCAAAGCCCGTGGACAACGAGCTCGCCGAAAAGGCTTGTGGTGAGTTGTTGCTTGCGCTTATGGCTTGGTGGTAACTTGGTGGCCAAACCTGTGAAGTTGAAGGGCTGTTGCTCACCTTTCTCCTCTTTTGGCAGATCTCTGCACTCTGCACCATTGGCAAGACTTTCAACCTTGGCTTGCCTCCATGTGTCACCTTCAATGGCAATGATGTCCTCTATATTGAGTGCGTGACAGGCTGAGTATGGGTAAGTTGAAGCTGCCTTGCAACCTAGTTGGTGCAAATGCTCACAATTTGTGGAGTCATGCCACCAAAAAGCGTGCAATTTGTGAAGCGCACCTGTCGTCACCATCCAGCGTCACCAAGCTTGCAATCAATGCAAAGTGCACCAAGCTTGCTGAGATGCTTGCCAAGTATATGCTGGATGAGGACCAACTTGACAATCC